TATATATATATATATATATATATATATATATATATATAGGGTGTTTGATAAATAATGATAAAACTCTCGCTCTACTGATAGAGCGGACTAATCTCAGTCTAAAAGTCCTCTATATCATTTTACAATTTTCGCAACAATCAACAAGATATCAATTACTAAAAATTGCCGAATATTGGTTTTCAATAATTTTTACTCAAGTACTATCAACTTTACCGAAAAATAGCAAGAGACAAAAATTGTTGTTTTCTTTTTATAAAACTATAAAAATTTTTTCAGAATTTTTTATCATTTTTTAGTACTGAATTTTCTTATATGTATATATGTATTATATATTAGTAACTAGTTTTATCAATATACAGGAAGGAGCATTTAAAACAGGTCACCTGAATATCTTGCTTGTTTTTAACAATAGAAGAAAAAATGTCAAACATAAGTTGCTTGGTTTCAAGAGGCACATAATGTGATATCAATAATTATTTTCTAGGTGGAGATGTAAAGGATAGTCAAAGAGATCAAATCTGATTTTTATATAGAATGATATGTTTTTTTACTTACATTCTGATAGAGCATTTTAAGACGAATACAATGACCTATAATTGAAGGTCATTCAAGGTTACGCAAGGTCAATAATGGAAAATAATTGAATGTAACGGAAAATAAATTGTTTCAAGGCACTCTTCAAATAATGTCATGTCTTCTTTTCTTGTTGTATATCGCTAATCATTCAAGTGTATGTAAATATTTACATTAAATTGAATCGCACATAGTATTATTCATATTTATTGATCAGTTTGAATTCATATCGATCAAAGTGCGTGTCTTGCGAAATGCGTTATACGAAAGTGGAAAAAGTCTATATGATTTTCGTCTATGGTGAATGTCGCCAAATTATGAGAAAAGCAGTACGTTTGTATGCTGAAAGATTTCCAATCGTGTCCATTCCTCATTCTCTGTTTTTTTCAAACATAGTACAAACTTTTCAAGAAACAGGAAATGTGGATAATAAAAAACGCTAACGGATCAAGAAAGCAACTGACGACAGAAATTCAACAAACATTTTAGCCGTTGTAGCACTAAATCTACAGTACAAGACAGCTTGAACGTGAAAGTAGTATAAACAATTTATTTTTAATTACAGCTAACCTTGTTATGTTTAAATAAATCTTCAACGTTTATTTATCGTGATATATTTAAATAATTAGCGGTATACCAACAAGAAGAAAAGACACGAAATTATTCGAAGAGTGCCTTGAAACAATTTATTTTCCATTACATTCAATTATTTTCTATTATTGACCTTGCGTAACCTTGAATGATAGGTCATTATATTCGTCTTAAAATGCTCTATCAGAATGTAAATAAAAAAACATGTCATTCCATTTAAAAAACAGATTTGACCTTTGCCTATCCTTTACATCTCCACCTACAAAACAATTATTAATATCACATTATGTGTCCCTTGAAACCAAGCAACTTTTATTTGACACTTTTTCTTCTATTGTTAAAAACAAGCGAGTTATTCAGGTGACCTATTTTAAATGCCCCTCTCTGTATAAGAAAATGCGGTACTAAAACAAATTCTAAAAAAAATTCTCAGAACTTTATAGAAAAATTAAATAATATTTGTCTCTCGCTGTTTTTCCGCAAAGTTGATAGTATTTAAGTAAAAAATCATTAAAAACCAATATTTAGCTATTTTTAATAATTAATATCTTGTTAACTATCGTGAAAGTTGCAAAATGGTTGATAACTTTTTTATTCAGTTTAGTCCCCCCTATCTACAAAAAGCGTTTGGTAAAAATCTCATCAGACACCCTGTATACATATACTCAAACATTATTCACTACTCATTCCAAGAATTGTTGCAATCTATAATTGCTACGAGGAAAGGAATAAATTAACTCTAATTTAACTTCCAATATACTATACGTATTGTAAATTAACAAAAAAAACTTTATGGAAAATGAAATTTGTGCCACTTAAACGCCACTTTCGTTATATTCTCTTATATTCATTTTTCTTTAATCTTCTCTCGCGTACCTTTCGTCCCATTTATATTGCCAATCTCAGGATCTTTGGTCGCTCAAAACTCACATTGGCTCGTCTTCATACGTACGATCTGCGACTCCTCAATTTCGTGTAATAAGACAAGTTCACCAAGACAGCGACGAAACGTTGATCCGTTCTGCAAAAGCCAAGCGTTGCCAGTTTAATCACGGACTGTGCGCGGATAAATGTATCTTTCGTAGATAAAAGCACTTCGCCGGAGTACGAATTAGTCGGAAAAGCTGACGTAAGTTTACATGTATTATGAAAATTCATATTGCCGTGAGGTAATGACAGCGTGACGAAGAGCTATTAAATGAATAGCGATAAGGATATTAAATTTCAAAACATATGTTTCTTTCCATTCAATTTAATTGAAAAAGAAAAACAAAGACAGAAGAAGAAACGTTTAAAAATTTTTATTGTAAAGTAAGATTTTGCTCGTCGTTTCACAGATCATGATTTATTGGAAATTCGCGTCGATCGATTGGAATATTTATGATAATCCAACTGTGAAAATAATGAGAATTTGAGATTGAACTATTATCATATAATTTTACGCTCGAGTGCGCGGAACGTTCGCAAGATCGATTAAACGCGTATGTATTAATACGAACGCTAAAATTATTTTTCAATTATATAAGATTGATATTCTGTCAGACATAGGTGTATAACCCACTTTCAGAATGGAATTCCAGAAGTTGTGACTTTATGTCGAATATATTAAAATAAAAAATTTAGGAAGTTAAAATACACGCATAAAACATAAAAAGTATATTAAATGTACACAAACCGTTAAAATACACAAAATATTAAGATGGCAATTAAAATTTAGCTATTCTAAAAATATGGCACAATTTATAAATGATCTAAAGCACAAACGATCTGCAAGTAGAATTTTTCAGGACAGAATTTTATTTATATAACTGTACATAATGTATTTTATAGATTAAATTGTATTATAGATTGAGGAATCAGAATGCAATAACATTAAAAAATTAGAATATACAGAATGTTCATCATGGCAATAGATGAGAAAAAAAAAAATTATACATGGTAAAAATCAAGGTAGACAAATCAATCATCAAGAATAACAAATTTGCAAAGGATATTTCGTTGTTTAATTGCAAATATTTAAATATTCACATACTTTAGACATTTTTTACTTGAAAATTTAAACGTTCAGAATTACAAAATAACAAAATTTTAGCGAAGACTATACATTTATTAATTATAAATGTCTAAAGTACATGCAGAATATTTAGACATCTATATAATAATAAACATTTGTATTAATAAAACGAATCTTTTACTGAAATTTTGTTATTGATTTTATAATTCTGATTGTTTAAATATTTATGTAAAGATATAAGTGCTCAAATTAAGCATATAAATATTTGAATATTTATAATAAAAAATGAAATATTCGCTACTATTATGTTAGTCTTGACTTTTATTTTATTTTTATCATCCAGAATCACTCCTTAAATATTCTTCTACCAATTTGTCGAACGTTCTATTTTATAAAACACACTTACATTCAAGTACACAACAAGTCAAATTGTGAAATCGGAACGCTATAGCTAAATTCTTAAAGATAAGTTGAACGTCGTGATATTTTTCCCGTTTTCTGTAAATATGTAACTTACATATTAACAAGTGCAATTTATCAAGAGGAAAGAAAGATTGACTCCGTCATAAACGTCGGAATAAGGGAGATTACGTAAAATAGCAAAGCAATATCAATAAGATAACAAATGTTGGCGCACAGATGAATATCTCAAACAATATTTTATGACGTGATTGCGGAAAACGATTATTACGGGATTAAGCAATCCGCAGTGCCGAGGAAAAAAAATTGAATACGACAAAAACACAAACGGTTGTATACACGTACACGATTTAATTAGATCGTCGGAGTTTAAATTAAATAAACAATGAGATTAATTTAAAATAGACATATATATACGCGAGATTCCATAAAAAGATGAAATTCCATATAATTATTTTTTTTTAAACTTGCTAGATGCAGAACCATATAAAATGATGGCCCAATGATCTCGACGTATGTGAGAATGTGCACTTGTAGTGCCGTTCTCCAAGACGAATCTACATCCGTAGTAGTTGACGTGCGGAAAGGAACATACAATCACTTTCGTTGGCTGTGATGTATAATAATACTTTATTAAGAATAGAGACTGACGCTCATGACGACCGTCAAAAGTAATCTGCCACTCAAGAGTCAGGACCACTGCACGCAGGCAGCTAATGCGTCAAAAACCCTAGGCTTAGGCATAATCGCAGCCTTAAAGCTTCAATGCTACACCGTTTAATCATGCCGTTTGAGGCAGAATGGCATGCCGTAGCGCGGATGCGTTAACAGCCGATTAGTTAAAGTAGCGCGGTGAACTCCGAAATTTGCAATCCAATTCTTATAGAATGGCCGAACAACGTAGCGGATCCTCTCAAAGATTTAATATCTTTGAGAGGAACCGCTACTGGTCAGCGAGAAAATCAGTCAATGATTATAGTTACACAATACTTGTAACCGTCAGACTCGGGTAAGGAATCTATTAAATCCATATAAACGTGTTCAAATCGACTGTCCGGCGCAATGAATTTATCCGGATTTAATTTAACATGACATTTTCAATTGTTAGCAATATATACAGTTTTTGCACCATTTCACAACGTCGCATATTAGACCAAACGTAATGTTCTCAGTAAACACAGTTTGTTGCAGTAATATAACGTGAAAGTAATGAATAATATAATACAAGTTACTTTTGTGATATAAAACTTATATATCATACATATGTAATTATGTAATGTTACAATGTTTATAGTATAACATATTATTGCAATTTAACATTGTTATATCAATGTTATTATATATAAATTTTTTCTGTACATATTACATAATTCAGTTATAAAAGATGGTTATTGAAGAAACTTCCATTACGATAGTTTAAAAACAATTTCGAACAATTATTATCTGTTGGACTAGATTATTACAGTGAATTAGATTTAGCTTAAATTATATTTTATTTAGTTTACACACACGCACGCATCTACGCACGACACTCTATTCACAGACACTCACACGAACACGAAAATGAAATATTACCCACTGATTTGTGCAGAACATATGATAGTACTCAAGAAATAAAAACATACGCATTTTTAATTAAAATTAAATAGTTTATTATATATTTTTAAGTACTTTATTATGTTATATTATAACTTTATAATACTATGTATAATACTTTACTGCAGTACTATTTTTAAGTAATATTATTACACTGCAGTAGAATGTTATACACAGTAGAATTGTACAATTATATATAGCACACATTTGTAAAAATGTTACAACATATTGTAGAGTAGAACTAATAGACTCATTTTTCAGTTTCAAATTTTTACAAATAAAATTAAGAGACTTATCGGAAAAGTGAATTCTACACCAGTTACTACATACATTTGACTAATACTATTTTAATATTGTAATAAGGGGAAACTGATAATATAAAAAAAATGCATTTTTCTAATGCATTCCATCTGATTCAACTAGCCTCGGGACCGGAGTAATTCGACTAAGATTATTAAAATAAAGATTAATGTGTTTTAAGCTACATCTTTGATTACATATTAATAAAACTTTCATTGGGAGTATAAATAAGTTTCCGCCGTTTGACAAACAATGGCGCTACCAGTATGTTATAGTTAAAATTGTCAGCTGTAAAACGTCATATCGTAAGGTTGGACATCTGGCAAGAACATAACCTTGAAATATTAGCCATTTTGCATCAGCATCTTATATCTTTTTTCGTGCGAAAATGTCGAGTTTTGAGCCGAATAAGCATCATTTGCGGGAGCTTTTGATTTACTTCTTTAATTTGAAGAAATCTGCAGCTGAGGCGCATCGATTGCTTGTAGAAGCACATGGTGAGTCTGCCTTAAGTGAGAGAAGTTGCCGTGAGTGGTTTCAAAAGTTTAAGAACGGTGAATTTGACGTCGAAGACAAAGAACGTAGCGGAAGGCCGAAAGTGTACGAAGACGCGAAATTGGAAGCATTATTGGATGAAGATTCGTGCCAAACACAAGAAGCACTTGCACTTACATTAGGAGTGACTCAACCAGCAATTTCACATCGCTTAAAATCGTTGGGATTGATTCAAAAGCAAGGAAAGTGGGTTCCATATGAACTGAAGGCGAGAAACGTTGAACGCCGATTTTTCACATGTAAAATGCTGCTTGCCAGGCATAAACGAAAGGGTTTTTTGCATCGTGTAGTCACTGGTAATGAAAAATGAATCCACTACGATAACCCAAAGAAGAAGAAATCATGGGGACCACCTGGCCATGCTTCAACATCGACAGCCAAGCCGAACATTCATAGGAAAAAGCTCATGTTGTGTATTTGATGGGATCAGCTAGGTGTCGTTTATTATGAGTTGCTCAAACCGAACGGAATCATTACTGGGGCTCTCTACCGAACACAATTGATGAGATTGAGCACTCAAGGAAAAACGCGCCCACTACTACTCCAGACACAACAAAGTTATTCTTCTGCATGATAATGCTCGTCCACATGTTGCGGCGCCGGTCAAAACCTACTTGGAAACACTCAATTGGGAAGTTTTACTCCACCCGCCGTATTCACCAGACATTACTCCTTCTGATTACTACCTGTTTCGATCGATAGTGCATGGCCTGTCTGAGCAACACTTCACATCATATGAAGATACCAAAAATTGGGTCGATTCGTGGATAGCTTCAAAAAATGAAGCGTTTTTCCGACGCGGTATCCGTATGCTGCCAGAAAGATGGGAAAAAGTAGTGGCTAGCGATGGACAATACTTCGAATAAAACATTAGGTACCGTTCTTTCACAATAAATGCCCAATTTTTGATAAAAAAACGGCGGAAACATATTTATACTCCTAATATAAAAATATTTTTTAAACACAAACATTTGCTTTGCAGAGCAAAACAATGCTTCTTTTTGCAAAATTTGTTTATTTCGTGCAAAAACACGTCGAATGAGCCTAGTTTTCAAGATTGGACATGA